AAGGCAGGTGGCAGCACCAGTGAGCTAAATCCCTGGCGCAGCAATTTTAATTCTTCTGATTTTGGAAAGTTCTTTCCTAAGATCTTGGCAATTTGGTTTTTACAGAAAGATATTCCTTAAATTCTCCTTAGGAAAGAGGGCTGACTTGGGAAATTGCAATGAAAGAAAAAAGGATCAAAAGTGCTTAAAAGTCAAGTGAGTGGTCTGATAGAGCTTTATCACCACCCTCGGCCACAGTGTCCAATCCAGGAGGAGCTCCCTAGAGCTGTCCTCACCCCACAGAGGCATCTCCCCCGCACATCTGAGGGTCAGAGTTACACCAACTGGACTGTTTCTGTAGGGAGCCGGCCCCTCCAGTGCTGCTCATGCCATAGCTTTCCCTTCCAGTCCCTCAAGCATGGAGGTAAAGAATGAAGAAACCCTGTTCTCCTATTTTCCATCTATATCCCACTTATAGGGGGAAAAACAAACCTCCCTAATTCTCTAGCACTGAGTGCTTTCAAAAGTTAGTTGGTAGTATCTTTATCTACCACAAACACTTAAGAAGTGAAACATTTAGCCAACCCAGTGCCCATCAGTGCTTTTCCATCACCCAGAACTAAATGGTTAGAAGCCATTTAACCCATTTGACACACAGTATCAAGGTATACTTACCCTTCCTTCTCAGCAGTCGGTCAGTACAAATATAACAAACAATTATCAAAAGATGTAACAGGGCCAGGGATTTAGTTCAGCCCAAGTTTGATCCCCGTACCAAAAAAAAAAGATTTAACAGCGGTATAACCCAAACAGTCCTGTTACAGAATTGACAAATATCACATAGCATCATGACCTCACGGTACAGCATTTCTACTGTGGTCCCAGATTCTGTGACCCTCTTCAGTGATCTCAAAGAAGATGGCTTACAGAAACTGGCAGAACTGGGAGGGGATCATTTTCCACTTCTAGGTGAAAACTTTAGCTGGGTAGTAAGCTCTCAGTCCCAAGTCCACTTTTCAGTTTGTGATGCTGAGGATGGGACTCTGTGCTTTCTCGCACTTTTCCCAGCTGATGTTTGCACATTTTTGACAACAGAAGGCCCTGGAGGAGACTGGGAGGCAGGAGTAGAAGAAGACAGGACATGCTCTCTCCCCCACATCAGCTGCTCCTATCAGCATCACCACAGTGGCGGTTGGTTTCAGCCTCTAGCTTGCAAGGGCCTTGCAGAATAAGTTTCCCAACCTTCCCACCCCAGGCATTGCCTATCACCAAAAAGCTTCCACAGCTCTGAGATGTGACTCTCGGCTACCAGGGACCCGATAACTTCCATCCATTCCCTCTGACTTCCTGGCCCCAAGGTGATCACTGCTCCCTGAAGTCATTACTTCTCAATCGCTTCTTGCTCTCTCAGTCCTCCAGGACCTGTATGATTCTCCCTTAAAATCCCCTGTGGCCGGGCGTGGTGTGGTGGTGCACACCTGTAATCCCAGCACTCGGGAGGCTGAGGCAGGAGGATTGCTGTAAATTCAAGACCAGCCTGGGCTACACAGTGAGTTCCAGAGCAGTCTGAACTACATAGTGAGATCCTGTCTCAAAAAACCAAAAAAATAAAACATAAAAATCCCCTGTGAATCCCTAGTATGTTTTCTGTGCTCCTGGCTGGATCTGACTGTGACAAACACACAAACTGCAGGGCTGACAGGAAACTGACTTGTCCTATCACAGATAAAACATACTGCATACTGACATGACATGTACCAAGCACTGTTTTAATGGCTGTAGCATGCATAATCCTATTTAATGCTCAGAGGAACCCAATAATAAGGTACCTCTATCATCATCTCTATGAAACAAATGAAAGAGGCTCAGAGATTTTTAAAATCCTTTTCAGAGATCACATAACTACACCACCCAACTGGAAAACAGAGCTAGGAAACATTTCCATGTCTGACCCCAAAGGCTGATGTGCTTCCTGCACAGTAAAACTACAAGGCTCCCCTAGGTACTGAACTCCACACTATCCACACTGTTCACAAATAACTCATTACAGACACATGCTTGCTTTTTATCTGCAGAAGTTACTCTGTAAGTTCACTCTTTTTCATGCCACTGCGTATCTAGCAAAACAGTGTATCTGTCCCATATTCAGGACTCAGCTATTTCTCTCTCCACGGCACCATTTCATTTTGTCCTTCCATCCACATTCTTATAAACTCAAACAAAGTTAAGACTGAAACAGTCCTGTCAAACCCTGTTTTCAGACAAAAATATTTAGTCTGTGACACTATGTCTTTTGCACATCAGGAGGCAGAAGGCACAGAAATCTCCTTGTTTCACTTTCAGGGATCCTCATATTAATCACAAGTTCAAAGCCCAACCCCACTCCCCATTGTTAGCAGTGCTAACTTATCGCTTCTAAGTGCTCATTCGCCACAGTCTACCTTAAGATACTGGCATAAGACACCAGCATACCCAAAGGTACACAAAGTGACCCTTCTCCAAGGTGAAATAATAAAAGGTGCTCACTCAAGTCTTCAACACAACACCGAGTTCCTCTTACTCCTGAGAAGCTCTCAGTAAACTTGTTTTTGTTCATCAATATATCAATCAATAATGCTTTAAAAGGTCAATGGTGAGAAGTTCCAAAGTCTAGTTCTAAGCCTCCCCTATGTAAATAATGGCTTTAATCTTGTGTGCTTACATTTGACCACAAGAAAATAGAGGTGTCACCAACTTGCACTGCCTCAAAGGACTATGGAAAGGGTAAAATGAATTACAAGGTTAAGAAAAAAAATCAGATCAGATACATAAATAGAACTTTTTTGGGTTAGATTTTAGCCATAATGAGGAAAAAATGTGATAAACTAAAAGCTGGACAAGCCACCACAATCTAATTTAAACTCGTATTACAAATGAACTAAAAGAAATCTCTAGCCAGGAATGGTACTGCATATCTGTAATTCCAGCATTCTGGGAAGCTGAGGAAGAAGAACTCCAAGTTCAATCCTAGCCTGGGCAACTTACCAACTTAGTAAGACCCTGACTCAAAATAGTTTCAAAAAGGCTGGGATGCAGCTCAGTGTAAAGGCCCTGGGTTCACTGCCTAATTACCCCCCTCAAAGAAAACCCCACCATGATGTTTAATTTTGAGAGTCACTGTTTCCATCTACAACATCTATTTTAAACTTAAAAAGTATTTTGTGTATACCAAAGAACCAACTTCTTGAAAAGATTAAATATAAGAGTAATTTCTCTGAAGATGCTGCATATAGAAAATATTCTTAGCACACACCTATAATCCCAGCACTCGGGAGGCTAAGGCAGGTGAATCACTGTTGAGTTTGGGACCAGCCTGGGCTACACAGTGAGTTTCCAGAGCAGTCTGAACTACATAGTGAGACCCTGTCTCAAAAAACCAAAAAACCCCAAATAAATAAATAAATAAAATATTCTGAGCACAAATGGTTACATCTGAGGAGCCATGAGAAATAATCAAAATTCGAACCAGCATCCTTCAACTCACTGCCAAGAAAACTTTTTTTAAAATATATTTTAAATTATTTGTTTAAGCCATCTCTTGCCACAGCAAAGGGATGGAGGATCAGTATAATGGTCGTCATTTGATGGAAGTAAGGAAGGTGTGCTTAAGGTCCCATATGCTTTTCTGGTCTAAATGAGTAATGGTCCAAATTGGAGCTTTGGTCCACGATGCGTAGGTCATAATGGTCCAGGTTCTTTCTAACCATATTTTGCATTTTTGCTAAGGGTTCTGGCTTAGTGACTCATCCAGTGTCACTTTAGAAGACTAATCTAAAACATAGGACTAGTTAATCTTGTCTTTTCTTTTTTTTTTCTTTTTTTGGTACCAGGGATCAAACTCAGGTCTTTGTGCTTGCGAGCCCACTGAGCTAAATCCCCGGCCCAGGACTAGTGACTCTTGATTTTATATTAGAAATGCATAAAGCTGAGCAGTTTTCCTGCCCAACTTTTCTGAGTTTTAAGAATTTAAGTTCCATCAAGAAGAGTCAAGTTTCTTGGGGCTCTTGTCTCCAATACTCCTGGAGACATCATTATGATGCCCTAGAAATTACTGACACCAACTATACAGTTGTGCTTTTCTATTTCCCCATAATCATTACAGTGCCACCATCTGAGCAAAAGGAAGCAGAATAACATTTTTAAATAAAATGTAGTGGGAGCAGAGGCATCTCCCCACCAATTTCAGCTCCTGGGATGATACCAGCTCTGTAGATAAGGGAGCCCTTGCTTTTCTAAGTTTCTCTTCTCGGCCTGGAGGGTGCTCAGAGTGTCCCGTGGAAATCAACAAGAATTTGCCTACCAGAAAAATATGAAGGAAACCCAGGAAAATAGCAAGAGAAAAACAAAAGAGGAGAAAGCAGAGGGAATCCCAGATCATGCAACAACAGCAGAAGGCAGCTAATAAGTCTATGCAGACCAGAGACAAGCAACACCTGGCTCGTGGAAAACCTGGTGCTGCTGCCAACTAGGGTCATCGTAAGCTCGAAAACCAAGATTCCTCACAGTAAACAATCATGTGCATAATAACGTATCCTCATAAAACTGTTTATTTTAAACTTTGTCTGTCTTAATGTGATGTTTAAATCCATTCTTCAAAGAATAAAACACAATGTGAAAATATAAAACATAAGTAGCTGGTGTTTATCTCTTTTAAAACTGCCAAATAAAGAATTTCATATTTAAATATACAGTAATTGGCAAACCCACTAGAAAAACTCGTATCAACAAGAACCTGTCTGGATGGAACTGCATGAGGAAGATAATCCAGTTACACAAAACTCCAACTTTTTTTCTTTTACTATTTCACAGAGCAGAATTTTAAAAAATATTCCATATGCTTACAAAGAAAAACATCAAGACACAGGCCAGAAGAGGATTTTGTTTTCTACCACACCCACACTGGAGGGAAGGCAAAAACTCCTTAGAAAATTAGTAATAGGCTTAGATACTTAGATAATAATTTTAAATAAAGAAATTCTTACCTCCCACTGTAAGTGTGGTGGGATATTTCGTATCTGAAGTTTCCGAATCCTGTGGAAGAATTTAAAAATACTTTTAAAGAACAAAAACATACAAAATACAAAATCTTAATAGCCAATGAGGAAGTTTAGAAACTTAAAATATTAATTTTATAACTAACCAATATATATAAAAAGAAAATAGAGTCCGAGAAGAAAAAAAAAAGTAAGTTAATCACAGGATGCATATTGAGACCATTTGGAGATCTGGCATTGTTGAATTGTTATGACATATTTTAAAAGTCACTAAAACTGGCACATAAAGTGTTTTAAAAACATTTCATCTGATAACTATATTCAGAGTTCAAACGCTTTTTGCTCAAATTTAAGCCTCCCAGGACACAAAGAAAGCCTCCATAGGTCCAGATGTTTTTCAAGGGGGCCATGAATTGAATTCGAGAACTGAGAATTGAGAAAAGGGGTGAGAATCACGTATTTTCACTGTTCCCTGACTGAAATGTAATGATTTCTTCAATTATAAGTGGAGGCAATAAACCATAGAATAGTACTTATAATTTAGGGGGCGTACCAGGGATCGAACTTGGGTCCTTGTGCTTGCGAGGCGGGAACCGCTGAGCTAAATCCCCGGCCCAGTACTTGTAATTTTGACATCAATATAAGTCAGATATCTTCATACCACATTAAGTTGTTGCAGATCTTTAAATATCTACACTCATTGCTGTGAAATTTAGATATATTGCTAGAACTTGTTACTTATGTTAAGCAGCACATATTAGTATTTTTTTAAGTTTGGTAACTTTTTTTAAATTTTGGTTTTAAATTGAGTAATCATTTTGAAATGTTTCTTGATAATCCTATATATTTTATGTATTTAAAAACATTGAAGAAGAGGTGTACAATTTCCAGACTGCCAAATGAGTCCATAATACAGAAGCAATAAGAATCCCCAGCTGGGGGAGTACAGGGGGCGCCGGCCTGTGATTTAGCTCAGTGGTGCCACCACCTGTCTCATAGGCCCAAGGTCCCAAGTTTGGTTCTCTGTACCCAACCCCCCCGCAAAAAAAGAAACCTAGCTGGCCGAAGGATCACAACTCCAAGCCCAGCCAGCCTGGCCAACTTAGTGACTTAGCCCTTGTCTTCAAAACAAAGAACTTAAAAAGGCTGGGGCTGTAGTTCAGTATGAAGGTCTTGGCTGCAATCCCTAGTACCAGGGAGGAAAAAATCCCCACTTTAAATTCAAATACCACCATCCCACACATGTGGTGCGTGTGTGTGTGTGTGTGTGTGTGTGTGTGTGTGTGTGTAGAAAAGGAGGAAGTGAAACAGATTGTACTATATAGATGCCTCATACTAATTACCCTTTTAATTGAATTTGACATCTCAGGTGAAATCATTAAATTTTTTACAAAATTAGAACTACACCAAGCTCTTTCCGGAAGCAAAACACCAGTTTAGACTGGATTCACAGATTAGTCCTTTGTCTCTTGTCTCTTCACTTTCCCCAAACAAGAGAATGACTGCCACATTTGCTGCCTATTCAGCCAAGAACTCCAAAGATAACAAAGATGAACCAAAAGGTATATTGGTACTCTGTTCTCAATTGTGAAGTGCAGGGGCAAAGGGAGAAGCACTTTTTATTTTTATGACAGAATTAAAAAAAACAAGTCATCAGGGCACAGTACACCAAAGATATAGAAGAGGGTCAATTTGAAAGAAAAAATTTCCAAACACCACCTAGTAAGAATTTACAGATAAAGAGCTAATTTTGCATTTGTTTCAAACTCACTCGTGGGTACCTACCTTTCTGGTGCCCACTATTCTTCAGGGTAGCTGTCTATCTTCCCCTTTCCCCCTCTTTTTTTTGAATAATTATCTTCCTTATTAAAAAAGAAAACTAACTCATGTGCTCATAACCATTAATACTGAAGAGAAGGTACTACTTTTCTATAAAAGGTTTTAAAGAAAAGGCCCCAGTATAGTGTCAGGCACCTGTAGTCCTAGCTACTTGGGAGACTGAGGTGGGAAAAACCACTTGAGCCAATCGAAAGAGGTAAAGTCTAGCCTGGACAACATAGTGAAGACTTCATCAAACCAACTAACCAACCAGTGAATGAATGAATGCTTTAAAATACACCACTGAAGCCAGGTAGGGACCCACACCTGTAATTCCAGCACTGTGAAGGCTGAGACAGGAGAATTGCAAATTTCAGTCCAGCCACTTGGCAAGACCCTGTCTCCAAAAAAATTAATAATTAAAATAAAATAACCTGGGGATATACTCAGTATTAAAGGCATTGGCTGGGTTCAATCCCTAGCTTCAAGTAAATAACAACTTTAATAAAAAAGTTTTCTAATATAACAGATTTCAGAGCTGCTACACACTGCTTTGGCTATCAGTTACACTATGTGAGTTTCATAAAGGTTACACTATGTAAATATTTACCGTGGGTAACTAAGGAGTAAGAATGACTTGTTACACACATGTAAATAATAATCTATTTTAATCAAGCACCTGACACAGTAAAGAATGGCATCACAGCGTTGTCTTAAACCCCACGAAACTCTTTGGTTTGTTTTTTGTTGTTTTTTTTTTTGAGACAGGGTCTCACTATGTAGTTGAGACTGACGTGGAACTCACTATGTAGTCCAGGCTGGTCTCGAACTCACAGTGATCCTCCTGCCTCAGCCTCCCAAATGCTGGGATTATAGGCGTGAGCCACCATGCCTGGCACAAAACTAATTTTTTGAAGTTTGTTACCAAAATTTTTCCTGAAAAGTACACATGTAAAAATGTACAGAGTTGAAGTCAATTAGCAGATGATAATTCATATTATAAAAACAAATATCCGCCAGGTGTGGTGGAAGATGCCTGTAATTCCAGCGCTCCGGAGTCTGAGGCAGGAGAATCACTGTGAGTTCAAGGCCAGCCTGGGCTACATAGTGACTTCCAGGTCAAGTCTCAACTACACAGTGAGACCCTGTCTCAAAACAACAACAACAAAAATATCCACTTCATACAGTTTGCAAGAAATTCTTTAAATAGAATATATTTTTTTAAATAATGTATTTTTTAAAGTAATCTATTAGCAATGTTTCCCAAGGACCTTCTAAGGGTTCTTCAAAATGAACACCCAACATTCATTTACTTATTGGATGTTACTCCAGAATAAGTATTTACCTCAAGTGGTTATCCAATGCCCATTATCTGAATTGCTCAAGTCTCATTTTAGAGAAACACTAGAATTATTTCCAGGACAGTTAAGTGTTCTGACATCCAGAATTGTTCTTTCCTATTTACCTAGGAACCAACAGTTTTTCCTCTGGCTCCTAAACTCTGCTCACTCTTAGAGAGTACAAGAGCCAGAAAGCTCAACAGGAAAAGGAGGGAACCAAAGGCATGAACTGGACCCAGGCAGTGCAGAAACACCAACTTCTGCCATGGCAAGAACCCCACGTTCCTCAGCTAAGTTCATCAAATTGGCTGTACACAATTAAACACCTACTTCTTTGGCCATCTTAAGCTTTTCGAGTTAGATTTCATTTAGATTTCTCAAAATTTATGAGTAGAGAAAATATTTGTGGTCAGGAGTAATAGTGTACACTTAAAATCCCAACATTTGGGAGGCTGAGGCAGAAAGAAGTTTGGAGCAGCCTGGGTAATATGAGCACAAGGCTAGTCTGAACTACAGCATAGTAAGATCATCTCAAAAATAAATAATAAACTTGAGAAAAATATTCATGTTTTAATAGATTACAACTACTATATTAAGTTATTAAAGTTCAATTTAACCACCAGCAAAAGACTTCCTTCTGTAACACAAAAATAGTAATAAATAGGACAGGGGCCAGGGATTCAGCTTAGTGTTTCCACCGCCTGCCTCGCAAGTGCAGGGTCCCAGGTTTGATCCCCAGTGCCAAAAAAAAAAAAGGACAAACTTTGTGACAAAGACAAATTAGGCTTTCATGTTCATCAGTGCATTCAGGGTCTGGAATAGGACTGGGCACCTGATGAACACTCAGCTGGTAGTTAGAATTTGTTACAGTACACAAAAGGGGAAGAAAAACTACAAAGCTCACAGTTCCACCATTAAGAAACTACTAACATGTCTGGTGATTTTCTTACAGTTTATATAGAAAAAAAAATAACTGCCACACTTAGGGAAAAGTGGGGTAAAGGTTAAGATCTCAGGTTAACAGACAGCACCCTTTATAAAAGGCTTACAGTGGGCTAAGTGCAGCTTGGTGGTAGAGTGCTTGTCTAGCACACACAAGGCCCTGGGTTCAATCCTCAGCACAACAAACAAAATCCACACTGTGCTGGAATTACTAGTTATGATGAAAAGTCAGTAAATTAGTTACCAGAAGTGGGTTTAATTAGAGGGTAAAGAGCCAATAGAAATGCTCATGTAGATGTCAAAGAGCATCTTCAAAGTTTAGTAAATGCTGGGTGTGGTGGTGCATGCCTATAATCCCAGCACTTGGGAGGCAGGAGGGTCACCATGAGTTTGAGGCCAACCTGGGCTACACAGTGAGCTCAAGGCCAGGATGAATTGTTGGGCACAATGGTGCATGCTTGTCATCCCAGCTACTTGGGAGGCTGAGAAAAGATTCCAAGTTTGAGGCCAGCATGGGAACTAAGCAAGACCTTGTGTCAAAAATAAAAAGGCCTGGGGAATGTAGACCAGGGATCCTTGGGTTCAGCCCCAATACCACATTGTGAAGGGAGGGAGGAGAGGAAGAAAAGGAAGGAAATAGAGAAGGTGAGTCATATCTATTATCAGCTTAAGTATAATCATTTAGATTGTATTGATTCTATACCCACACCTCTCCCAACAAGTCCCACTTACATAGCAACTCATGCTAAAGTGGATTAGTAAACAATTATGAAAGATAAAAACATTATTTCAATATAACCACAACCCCGATATTGTACCAAGAAGTGATTAGTTAAGATTCCTGATTATCAGAAATCTACTCAATGTTTATTCCCGCAATTGCTTGGTATCTTTTTCCATTCATTTAGTTGCATTAAAATCTCAAGATGCACACAAA